AAGGTCTCATATCTCTTCTGATATTTCCTACCAGGGTGCTAAGGAACCTTGGACTAGTCACTTCTTTTTGAAATGTTATGAAATCTATTTTTCCTACACTCCATTTCTGACTCTGCTCAGCATTCCCTTCCTTGGATGTTACAAGTGATAATATCACATGGTTACACCTGCCCACGGTTCTCATCTCTTCCAGCTTAGCAATTAGCTTCTCCTCAGTGGTCAGAATTAAGTCCTCTACCTTCCAAAAGAAGAAAACTGTCAAGGGTGGGAATCAAGAACATCCAATTCTCGGCTCTCAGAGGAATAAGGCTTCCATTTGTTGTCCTGAGAGCTGACAGTCACATCATCGATCACAAGTGTACCTTGGTTCTTGGTGTGTGATTTTAATGAAGAAAGCATCAGCTCCATGCACCAGATGGCCAGGGGCTCTACAGCACATCACAGCCCAGCAGGAATTCACTTCTAACTGCTCTCTACCACCATGCCCCTATCCTGAAGTCCATGGACAGAAGTCCATTCTACCATCTCCTGGATCAGACTTGTTTCACTAAACAAACCCATACCTTTTCACTGAACAGCTCTGGTCCTGCATTCTACCTCAATAAATCGTAGTAAAATCTATGACACCAAGTTTGCCTGCTTTGCCAATAATAGCACCTGTCTCATGGGCTGTTGTGCGGAGAAAAATGGGTTAACACATAGGAAGCTGCAAACCTTAAAACTTTATAGAAATACTCACTATTAGTGTGCGACAGCTTCAGCTACATTCTGTCCATTGCCTTTGCCTCTGCCTACTGTAACACACGCGTGAAAAATAGAGGTACTGGTTCCAAACTTCATCCTAGTTATTTTTCCTATAAATTGCTAGGAATTTTCTTGAATGTCATTTTTTCTGTGCTATAGCTACTGTCCTCCAGAGGATCCAGTTTTATTTTTCTTTATTTAATCTTAAAATTGCTCCATGCTGAAAAATTAATTCTTTCCTTCTCTCTGTTGTTCATCAATACTGTTCTTCTTGTAACATATCAGTAATTAGCTGCTCCACAATCAGATTAGAGCAAATCATGGTAAAATATGGTAACCAGGAAGCACTTCTCTTTAAGGAGATGAACATGTGGGTGAAATTTGGTCTCTCAAACACTCTGCCACTCAGGTGCTACCCAGAAGCCATTAGGGCAAGAAGTAGTTGGTGAAATCTTGCTCTCTTTCCTCTTTGGGGAAAAATAGAATACAAACATACAAACAGATAATGGCATCAGATGGAAAGTGCCATGGTCCTTTAGGTGCAGAAGCAAAGCAGATAGTAACATCTCTTTTTTTTATGTCATTTCCACTCATAAAATCGTATCATTTTGAACCATCTGACAGCGCCAAAGGCTTTGACTGGATTGGATCTTCAGTAGCTATGGCTATAACACTGATCAAAGCAATCGCCATGCATCTCCCCCAAGGTTATTTCGAGGGTGATGGATGGGAGGGCTGGGCTGGAAGCAGAGGGGTGGGAAGGGATGCCGACACCCCATCAAACTTACCACCAATAGCCAATGGTGAGATGCTGGTGTTGGTAGTGACAAGGAAAACAGGCCCTTTCTTCACAGGGATTGCTCCCCTCAATGGTAGCTGCATGGCCTGGGGCAGAAGGAGGGCTGAGGTCTTGGGGAGTCCCTGCTAAGAACTGCAGGTTCTGGGCTTGAGGTGTCTGAGAGAAGGTGGTGGTCCAGGGAGTCACGGTGGCTTGGCTTGCCTGGCACAGACCACATGTTGTCACTCCCACAGGGTGCCTGTCTTGCTAGCTCCTTCCTTCCCGGCCTCAGACCAACTGCGCCACTTCCCGCACCAGCTTCAGACTATACCTTTTCCTCCCTCCCCTACTGTCCAATTCTAGTGCCAAGAACAACTCCAAACCACCACCCCGGGCAAGAACAGGTCACTCAGCTGCCTCAATTCCAAGGATCTTGCCCCTGACATCCTAGCCCAGGCTCTTCTCCCTCTCCTCCCCTCCCCTGCATTTGTTGTGTTTCCTTATCAGATTATAAGCTGCTTGAGGGCAGAGACTGACTGGCTTACTTATAGTTATATTCTCAGCACCAAAAACAGTGCTGGGCACAGAGCAAGCTCTTAGTAAATGTTTTTCCGGTTATTCATTAATTAGTAATAAAGCGGGCTATCAAATCTTGGCCACAGGCCCCTACACATACTACCTCCGGTACCTAATTTCCAGTTACGTGGTATTTTCAGATACATATTTCCAATGAAACTTGAAGTAGATTTTAATAAAAATATCTGAGTGACATCTTCCTCCTCCTCATGTCTTTGAGTAAGAACATGACTTACTTTATGGGAAATGTAGCAGTAGGAAAAAGGGTCACTGAGGAGAGCGAGCCTAACTAACCTCACTTGATATTTCCATTTTCCAAACTTTGTTCACTTCCTTGAGGATACCCCTCATCTAGAAACTAATTAATCTCTTTCTGGAACAAAATAATGTATCCTCCTTGCTTCAACAGCTCTCTCTGGTAACATACTACTCACGAAGCAGCAGCACGATCATCTCCATAAAATGTGAAACTTAATAACCTTCACATCACATACCACAACTTATCAATGGTAAGGTTTGCTAACAGGTTATAAGCATTTTACAGGGGAATTTCTTATAGGGCTGCACAAAATACAAGAAGGAATATGGTTAGGCACAGTTTTAACCTGAAACCAATTTACTCTGATGAAAACGATTAAAGTCTATGGCATGGGCTCATGCTCAATAAATGTTTAAAAGGAATACGCCTAATCTTATTGATGAGCATAGATGGGGCTGCTATTCTCTGGGAATAAACTGTTCACTCATGGGAGAAGAATGAACACTTTTGCGAGATTTTTAACGAACCTAAGAAAAAACATTCTGGCTCCACTATTACACTCACTATTTAACACTTGGGATGAATGTCAGGGTCTGTAATTAGCAGGGCAATTTAGAGGCAGTCATTATAGAGTATAGTGGGATAGTCTGGCTGACCTTTTAAGGCCTAGTCTCATGCTCAACTTCCATAAATCTATTCCTAGAGCTGAACAGTTTATTTGCAGAATTGTGTAGACCTTGAATGATACAGCACAGGATGAAACATAAAGATACCCCAAGGTACTGATCAAACAAGTAAAGTTCCTCATGGCATGTATTCACATCAAGTGTGTCAAACCAACAAAAATAAAAATCCAAAATATCCCAACCATTTTGGTACACGGATCTTTCCAACCCTTCAATGAAAGCAGGGCACAGAGCCCCTATGGACGGACCATTCACACACAGATTCTTCAGCCATTCCATCTGATCAGCCACATTTCGATCAATATGGCTCTTGCCTCGTGGGAGTGGAAATGTTATTGATAACTGGCCTCATCTGCCTGTCCGGTTGTCACTGCATAGCATGCCATCATTGTTGATGGATATTTTTAGCACTCTGAGTACCACGGTGACATGATATGAAATGACAACCAGAAAGTAAATAAGGCCAATTATCAGTAACATTTCTACTCCAATATCAATCTAAAAAAGAAACCTTAATTCTGAATGTTATTTCTATTCCAATAAACATTACTTAAATGTTTTAACACCTAATCTTGGCAAAAATTATACTGAGTCAAACAACTAGTTGTTTTTTAATCAGTAATAAGAGAACAGAACTTCAGCATAGTAGACTAAATAATCCATATGTTTTATATACAGTCAGAATGAATTAAGACATATTACTTATTTAAAAGCCAACCTATTTCCCTTCGAAATCTTCTGTCTTCATTAGTAACAACAGCTTTGCAACTATTCATTTGAAAATTATAGTAATTACTCTGTTCTACTTGTTCATACTATTCTTACCATTTAAGGAAAATGTCAGTGTTTCTCAAGAGCATTTTTTAAATGTCTCAGCTTTTCCAACAATAAAACAAAGGCTGAATGGAATCTTTGAAGAGTTTTCACTGAGAAGCAAACAGGTATCTTGACTCAGAGTTTGGTCCCTTATCCACTATACCACCTGCCCCAACATTTATAATTACTAACAACAGTAGTAATCATACATGCTCATCCATGGAACACTGAAGTTAGTGAAATGCAGACTCAGAAATTTTGGGTAACAAATTGAAAATTTAATATAAAACAGATATAATATTGATGTGCTAAAAAAGTGCAGAATGCCACCTGCAAACAGAGGTTAATGACTGGGTCTATGCCCCAGATGAGCGGGGTTTCAGGTCTAAGCATCAGATTAAACATCTATTGAGCTCAACCTGGTGACTTCTGGGATGCAGTTAATTTTTTCTATAAAATGAGGAAATTGGACTAGAGGATCTCTATGTCCTTTCTAGCTCTAAAATTCTATGACTTCTACCAAGAGGTGATAGAAGAATTCATAAGGGGTTTCAGAGAAGAGACAAAAGATGATGAAATGGTTAAAAAAAAAAAGGCTCATGAAGAAAGGTTAAGATGCTACAGTCATTTCACCTGGCAAAGGAAAATATGCAGAATGATTGAACGGTCTTCCAATATATGAAGAGTTATTACACAAAGGACAGTAAAAAGCCATTTTACTCATCTGGTAAAGACTGAACACAAGGAAATGAATTTAAACATGAAACAATATCTTCAGGTTAAATATTTGAAAGCATTTCCTGAAATAGGACATTTTTAAAGACTAAAATGGATTAAAAAATAGATTCTGAATTATTGGTGCAAAAGGTGTTTAAAAATTTCGTGAATTCCTGACCTCTCAATGTCCGCTTCTAGCATTAAGATTTTATAAAGGCGATTTCTTTCATCACTTCTAAAGGCTGTGTTAAAGGGTGCGGGGGGGGGGGGGGGGGGCAGAAGGCTGGAGGAGGGGACAGTTAAGTTTCTTTGCTCTGTGAGTCCACACCTCTCTGGCTCCTCCTTCACACTAGGCTCTGAGCTTGAGACTTTAGGCAGCTAATTTTTCATGCCCCTTCCTCAATGCTAGATGAAAAGCTCTTACCTGTAAGTAGTGTTCGGGACATACACATCCCTGGCAGGAAATTCCAGGATTTCCCTAGTAGGTCTAACTCTGCTGTCAGGGTAGAGTTTGACTTGCAGCAATTCGGGGGTTAGGCAGTAATGGGGATTTTCTGGTGCAGGAGAAATGTCGATCTTCAGCTGAGCTGCACATTAAAAAAGGATTACTACAACAACTAAAAGAAAACAAAGTTTAGAATCTATATTTAAGCTTGCTTTTGACAAAGGGGTGATCTGAATGTGTGCAGGGTTCCTTAACTGGAAACCTGCAGAACTTCCAGAAGGAATAAAATAAATGACAGTATAATTCTTTTCATTTCATGTTCCTGATTTATGACCCAAACTAATCCAAAATTGAACGTGTCATAGAGAAATTTAACAACTATTTAACAACCATTTGTTAAGTATTTGCAAAGAATTTACTAACAACTGGGAGACATAAGAAGATAATTAAGACATGACCCCTGCCCTCAGATTTTATAAACTATCTATTCAGTCCCAAGAGTTCTAGAGGAAGATATTCAATGTTTCAAAAATTAGATAATATATCCCACACTGGTACCGGACTCTTCTTAAAGTGATTTGCCCTCAGTAGCCTAAGTAGAGAAGTTGACATTGACTTTGGAAGGAATAAGCAAAATTTTACTCTGAAATGGTGGACTCAAGTCAATACTAATAATAATTATCATGTTCATAGTCTTTAATTATTATAGAAATCTACTGAAAAAATATTGCTTTTTCCTGTGGGGTAAAAAAATCTATTTTTAGACATTGCATGAAACTATCTCCCCATTTCAGCATGTAAATAATCAGTTTCCCAATTCCCTTGTGTTCAAGCCATGTACTTTGAAAGTTTAATGAGGTGAAGGTGAAGAATTATAGTCATATGGAACACCTAAGGATATAGGGCACATCTGTGAAATCAGGAAAAATGAATAAATAAAATGGCAATTTTAATGTCTAGGAAACAAGACAAAAATGCTTATAATCCTGTTCCTCCAAAACCAACACACACCTGTGATGGGTCTTAATCTCCGTAAGACAGAAGATGGCCTTCTCATATCAGCCAGAAACTTATATAGATCCTCATCACTTAAGCGGTCTCCTTCCTGTTTGGAAAAAAGAAAGCACCTGTTTTATAGGGAATGTGCAAATGAGCGGAGAAAAGTTCTGACTTCCTACTGCCCTACTGGGTTTGGTGAAATGGCTCCTAAGTCAACATGTGGATGATTGTGAGTTAACGCCATGTATTTCCTGCTCTTCTCTCTCTCCATTTTCTGTATGCACTCTAGCACACTCAGAGTCTGTTTGGCCTTTGGGAAGCCCCAACTCAAGGAGGTCACAGCACAAACACACTGTCACTCAAACTTTCGGATGTGTGTGACAAAAAATACCTGCTTAAAAAAGTTTGTCACGGTGAGGGTTGCTGGTCGAAAGGTGGTGAGGCTACAAGCCTCATCTCCACTTGTTGTCCTCTCTAGGGATCGTCTGCCAACAACACTGGAATTTCTCCTCTCAGACCATGATCCTTTGCGTTCTACCAAGGGAAGAAAGTAAAAGGTCCAGCGAATTAAAACCCGTTCTAAGCCATTAAGCCTAAACACAGAAGTATTCAAGGTAACGAGAAACCATGGAGTAAGCAAGTCATTCTGCTAAAGAAACACTCTCCTGAAGCACCAGGAACGACTGAGGGGCGAGGCTGCGCGTCAGAGCGCACTGGGCTCAGGAAGGAGAAGCTTAGATGTCAACAGTCCCCTGACCCTTACTGAGAGTGTAAGCACAGGAACCTCCGTTTCCTCCTCCACGAAATAGGGACGTTCAGTGCCTACTCTGCAGGGTGAGAGTGAGGATCAGAGGAGATGATGTAACAAGAGCTCTCGACGAACCTTACAGAACCATCCAGATGGCAGTCATGATTATTATTATTACAAAGTAAGAGAGATCTGGTGTGGTTGTTTACCACAATCTCAAAGCAATGTTACCAACTTTCCTAAGTCTTTATCGTGCAAGGTTTATATATCTCTCCTACAGGGGAGAAGAAGCTACTGGGTTGAAAGACTCTCAAAATTGGCTAAAGAGATGAGCAGCCAGCAACTCTTCAGTCAGACTGCACCCTCAGTCTTAACAGTGTGATCCGACACACGAGCAGCCCCGAGGTCACACGGTTCACCATGGGGTTACACCAGATCGTCTCTGACTCAGAATCCACGGCCTAGAAAGGCCAGGAGAAGCAGCAGCAACCACAGCCGCGCGCCTGGGCAGAGTCGGGGCCGCTCCCGTACCTCCGGCACTGATCTCTACGTCAGTGGAATCTCTCTCCAAACTCCCAGCACTGCTGACGATATTCATCAGGTGGATTGCTGTCCAAGCAAAGGGCATGCGGTACTTCCCCAGCCTTTGACAAAACTGGTCTGCTTGGCTCCTCAGCTTCTCCAGCTTTTCTTTGTTCTGAGAAAACAAGCAGAGAAGACGACATGTTCTATTACTGTGCTAGAAGTCGTCCAGGAGCGATGGCTCCAGAGTAATGCGGAGCGGGCAAAGGATCCCCAGCACCGGCCACAGCTCACTCTGCACACAGAGCGGCCCACTACAGGGACTCAAACATCTTCGACAACCTCACATTCTGCACTAACACAGACGCGTGTGTACAAACACCATAGATGAGGCATTTTTCTCATCTCCCTACCAATGAAATGTCCAACTTCTGAGGGCATTCATTCATTCACTGACTGACTCCATAAACCTTTACTGAGCACTTGTGATACCACGGGGAATGCAAAGATGAATAAAGGTCAGTTCCTTGTCCTCACAGAGATGATAATCCAGCACATGTAGGAGATTGGAAGAAAAAGCAATGGAGATCTGGTTAGACAAGCTTCCAAAACGAAAAACGCTTTTCCTCTTGAAAAGACTAGGGGCATGGGGCAGCTATGTGGCACAGTGGGTAGAATACCAGCCCTGGAGTCAGGAGGACCGGAGCTCAAATTTGGCCTTAGACACTTAACAGTTACTAGCTGTGTGACCCTGGGCAAATCATTCAACCCCAATTGCCTCACCAAAAAAAAAAATTTTCTAAAAAAATTCTAGGGGCAAAAGTATTTTGGACACATCTGGTTTATAGTCAACTATGTTACAAGAATAATTACTTGCACGGCTATACAAGTATACAAGTAGCTCCAGAGGTGAGATATTTATTACGGTTCCAAATTCAGAGCTGAACTATGAGACTTAGTCTAGTATTTCTCCAAATGCTAGACCAATTTGCAAGTCTGGTTCAATGGTTTATCTTTCAGTTTAAAAAACGTTTTGACTGGTGAGTTTTGCTTTTTTTTTTTTGCTAAGTTACATGAGTATGGCCATTTGCACTACAGCTACCCCTTCCACATCAGTGGGGTTAGAGGCACAGCACCCCCACAATCTAGAAAATCCATGTAAAATTTTTTGGCCCTCTCTTTGTACCACAGAAGCAGTCTGAATTTTTTCTTTTCCTTTTAGGCGTTTTTACAGTATCTTACTGTAAAATGTGGGTTAAGTATTTAGTTATAGGCTACATGTAGGTCAATAATACTGTTATGAAAAAGAAATTTTAAAAATATGAAATAAGAAAATTTTAAAAAATGAAGCAAATTTGAAGAGAATAATACTGAACATATTGGACGTATAACAAAAGACATTAAAAAAAATAACCAGTGAATAGCATGTGTAGTGTGCCTCGGATGTCCTTATTACCCGCATGCAGACAACTTCAGCACCTTCGACGTGGAATTCATGGGGCTCTGGGTGACCGAGGCATCATCCAGAAGCAGTAACACCTTCAAGAGAAATCCCTTGCTGGCAAGGACTTTTCTAACCTTGGGCACAAGACACTGAGGAACCAGTCAAGGAAAAGTGGTTGGGGTCATCCATGGTTTCCTACTGAACATCCCAAAGACAGGCAGATGGTACTTGTCCTTTCCTTTCAAAGCTCGAGGTTCGCGCCTCTCCATATCAGGGCTGTCCTTATTATGACCCCTAGACACTGGCACAAAAGAGCAGGGCCACCCCACCCCTCGTGGCTTCCCTCCTCGCTGACCCAGGCCCTCAGGGGCATTTTATTCCCATGGGGGGGCAGCTTCGTCGGCGCTGAATCTGTTCCAATTTCAATCAGTTTCTTCAGGGTTTCAGCAAACTCCCTAGCTGCCTCTTGACGGATCAGCAGATGCTTCCTCTTATATGACTTTTACACTGCATAGGCTAGACCTTTTTTTAAAATTTCTGAACCAGCCTTTGCAGGCCTGAAAATCTGTAGGGGCAGACCCTTCACCTTTACTTTCCTTTAGGAAATCATATAAGGACTTATTTTCTCCTATGACGCCAGAGTCTACCGGAATGCCTTTTTCATAACAATCCTTCACCCAAAAGAACGTTGCACTTTCTATGTGACAGACGTGGATCTCGTGGTCCAGGCAAAGCTTTGCAGTTGCTTGTATAGCTGCAGCGATGGCTTCGAGGATTTTCTTCTCTTTTTTCTTGATATACCTTCAGGTCGACTCATTAATGCCATAATGATGTCCAACTGAAGCAGCCATTTTGCCTGAACGAAGCATATCTAACAATTCTACTTTTTCCTTCAAGTTCATCACTTTTCTCTGTTTCTTGGATACACTTCCCAAATCACTAGGAATGTTATGCTTGGGACCCAGATTTTAACAGAGTTTATAGTGTTTAAACAACACAACACAAGATATAAGCAACCTGAGATGCAGAGATCACTGCAGGATCGCTGTGAGATATCACACGAAATTGTGCCATAAACATGCTTGGCATCCTCAAACCAGTGCGTAGAACTGTAGTTCTTTTACTACAAATTTAATTTGAAGAAAAAAATTGTGTTCATTTATACTGTTCAACAGTAAAAGAAATACTGTACAGGTAACACTCTACATAACAGTACCATACATTTTATGGATTACAGTTACTAAACTTTTTAAGATACCTCAACATTTCTAGCCTTTGTGTTTCATCTGCTGGCTTGTGTGTTCTTTCCACAGATTTTAACTTTTTATTTATTTTAATTTTACAGAAACTGTGTATATTTATGTTACTAAAAGATAAAATGTTGATATTATACAATAAGATGCATGTGTATAAATACATATCTATACATATATACATATATACACACACATACACACATATATACACATGATGCGTTTCTGAGTTTCTAAACTTTTTTTTTGTGTCATCGGCTGGCCTTTGTGTGTCATCTGAGGTTTCTGCAAAACTCCCCCAAAATTTCCATTTAATTTCTTATGCCAGCACAAGATGGAGAAAGTGGTGATGTGGAAGGGATAACTAACTATATTTAGGACCTAAGCTGAGAGAACTGAATGGAAGGGAAGAGGATGCCTCAGAAGGTAATGAGATCCTTGTCAAACACGGATGGCTGAGGGACCACCTGTCAGAGTTATCACAGATGGGGTTCAAGACCAGGGTCAGAACTTGATGCCAACTCAAGATCGATAAGCCCATGGCTTGAGTGGGCTTTACGGAAGCGAGGAGGCCAGTCTGAATTTCTACTGAAAAGAAAGACTTTTACAATTTTAAAATTAGCATGCTATTCCCTTAAGCAAAAATGAAGAGAGAAAGGGAGTGATTACCTTAGTGGCATCTGCTTCTTTGAAAATCATGTACGGCTCTGCACACTCTCCAATGTCTCCTTGCTGTAGAACTTTTTCCAGCTGAGAAAAGAAAAAGAGGACACCAGGTTACGTTTACAACAAAATCGACCATTTAACAATGCCACAAAAACCACGACGTTCTGCCACGATGAAAATGGAAAGAGCAACAAAAAGCAACTGATCACAGTGCTATTATCACGGCTGAGGCTGGCCCTGGAGAAGAGGCAGAAAAGACATCGCCTCCTTCCTCCACCACAGCGGGCGGATGGTCAGACACTGTGAGCACAAATCGCTCTTTTCCTCTTTTTAAATCATTTTCACAAGGGAAGGTTTACTGGGAAGGGAAGGGCACACAGCAGTGACAATTCAGAAACAAATGTGATGTAAAACAAAATTCTGAAGAAAATTTAAGTCTGTTGCCATCTAAAGACATATGTCTTCACCTTTTTGGGACAGAGACCCTTTTGGCAGTCTGATGAAGCCAAAAGATTTAATTTGTTCTTTTTCTACTTTTTTTAGTTGCATGTTCAATTCATTGATCTGTTTCTTCTCTATTTTACTGATGGAAAGCAAGTAGAGGTATTAATTTTCCCCTAAGTACAGCTTTGGCTACCTCCCACAAATTCTGGTATATTGTCTCATTGTTACCATTTTCTTTAACGAAATTATCAACTGTTTTTATGATTTGCTCTTTGACCCACCTATTTTTAGGACTAAAATATTTAATTTTCAGTTAATTTTATCTCTCTTTCCATTGTTCATTATTGAATGTAATTTTTATTGCACTATGATCTAAAAAGGATGCATTTACTATTTCTGCTTTTCTGCATTTGGTTGTAAGGTTTTTACGTCCTAATATATGGTCAATTTTTGTGTAGGTGCCATGTACTGCTGAGGAAAAAGTATATTCTTTTCTATTCCCATTCATTTTTCTCCAGAGATCTATCATATCTGACTTGTCCTTAATTTTATTCACCTCCTTAATTTATTTCTTATTTATTTTTTGGTTAGATTTATCTAGTTCTGAGAGGGGAAAGTTGAGGTCTCCCACTAGTACAGTTCTATTTTCTATTTCCTCCTGTAACTCATTTAACTTTTCCTGCAAAAATTTAGGTGCTTTACCATTTGATGCATATATGTTTAGTATTGATATGATTTCACTGTATATGGTACCTTTCAGCAAGATATAGTTTTCTTCTTTATCTCTTTTAATTACATCTATTTTTGCTTTTGCTTCGTCTGAGATCATGATTGCTGTCACTGCTTTCTTTGTTTCGGCTGACACGTAATAGATTCTACTCCAGCCCTTTATCTCTATCCTGTATGTATCTCTGCTTCAAATATGTTTCTTGTAAACAACACATTGTAGGATTCTGCAACAACACATTAATCCATTCTGCTATCCACTTTCATTTTATGGGTGAGTTCTTCCCATTCACATTACAGTTATGATAACTGTGTATTTCCTGACATGCTATTTTTGCTTGTTTGTCCCTGCCCATCTTACCCCCTATTCTTTCCCTCCTCACAAGTGTTTAACTTCTAATTACCACCTTCCCCAATATACCCTCCCTTTTATCAGTCCTCCCCCCACCATGCTTCTATTATCTCTGTCCCCTTTTACTTCCTTAGAGGATAAGATAGATTTCTATATCCAATTAAGTGTGTATGCTATTCCCTCTTTAAGCCAATTTTGATGACAGTAAGGTTTAGGTTTAAGATTTGCCCACCCCATGCCACATCTTCCCCTCCATTGTAATAGCTTTCATGCCTCTTTTATGTGGGATAGTTTACCCCATTCAATCTCCTCCCTCCTTCCTCCAATGCAATTTTCTTTCTCACCCTTTTATTTTGTTTCTTGGGTATCACCCCATCAAAGTTATCTTATACCCACATCCTCTGTTTACATATACTCCTTCTAATTGCTCTTATAGTAATAAAGTTGTTAAGAGTTACAAATATTATCTTGCCATACAGAAATATAAAAAGTTTAACCTTATTGAATTTCTTATATTTTCTCTTTCTTGTTTTTTTTTTTTTTTGAAACCTTTTTATGTTTCCCTTGAGTCTTGTGTTTAGAGGTAAAATTTTTTACTCAGCTCTGGTCTTTTAATTAGACATGTTTCTGCTCCCCCCCCCCCGCCGAAAGATTATATTCAGTTTTGCTGAGTAGTTGATTCTTGGTAGTAATCCTAACTCCTTTGCCTTCCAGTATATCATATTCCAAGCCCTCCAGTTCTTTAATGTGGAAGCTTCCAAATCTTGTGTAATCCCGATTACATCTTCACGATATTTAAATTGTTTCTTTTTGGTTGCTTGCAATACTATCTCCTTGATGTGTGAGCTCTGGAATTTGGTTATGATAATCCTGGGAGTTTTCCTTCAGGTGGTGATGGATGGATTCTTTTAATTTCTACTCTGTCCTTTGGTTCTAAAATATCAGGGCAATTTTCTTTGATAATTTCTTGAAAGATGTGGTTCAGGCTTTTTTTTTAAATTGTGATTTTCAGGCAATTCAATAATTCTTAAATTATCTCTCCTGAATTTATTTTCTAGGCCAGTTGTTTTTCCAATGATAAATTTAATATTTTCTTTTTTTTTTTTTTACAGTTCTGATTTTATCTTATCTTGATGTCTCACAAAGTAATTAGTTTTCACTTGTTTAATTCTAATTTTTAAGGAATTATTTTCTTCAGTGAGCTTTTGTACTTCCTTTTCCATTTGGCCAATTCTGTTTTTTAGGGAGTTATTTTCCTCGGTAAGGTTTTGTGTATCCTTTCCCATCCTACTGACTCTTTTTTCATGATTCTCGTGCGTTACTTTAATTTCTTTTACCAATTTTTCTTCTACTTCTCTAATCTGCTTTTCAAAATCCTTTTTAAGCTCTTCCAGGAATTCTTTTTGGGCCTGAGACCAAATTCCATTTTTTTTCGAGGCTTTACATGTAGGCATTTTGACACTACTGTTCTCTTCTAAATTTATGCCTTGATCCTCCCTATCACCATAGTAGCTTTCTATAGTCAAGGTCTTTTTGTTTTTCACTCATTTTTTCCTACTTTTTCTTGTGACGCTGTTTTTACAGGAGAGTTGGGCTCTGGTGCTGTACTGTCCCAAGCTTTTTGTGCTGGGGCTCTGGGTCTTACTGCGGGCTTTCACTGGGCTTCAGGGTTCAGTGGCTTGCTATCTTGGGTGGGTAGGCCTGCCTTCTGGCTGGTACTGGGCTGGGGGGAGGGTGCCCTCCCCTGGGTGTGGGGTTTAGCTGCTGGCCTGCTCCAGGAGTGGGGCCCTGCTGCAAGGCTGCTACGGAAACAGGGCCTCTCTGCTGGTAGGCCCTAGGGGCCAGCCTCTGGGGTGGGGCTTCTCTGCTGGTCATCAATGGGGTCAAGGCCTCACTGGGGGCTTGTGCCGGGAGTGGGGCCTCGCTGAGCTTCACAGATGCTCACTTGTCTTGGGGGCTGCTGGTCTGCAGGAGGGAGAGGCCTCGCTGGTGGATTGCCCCAGGCTCGGAGCCCTGCTGCAGGCCCCCTGCTGTGAGGCTGCTGCCGCCCTTGGACCTCGCTCCCCTCCCACCCCAGTGAGAAGGACCTCTCCTGCGGGGCTGCTCAGCTGCTTCCCTGCTCCTGGATCCAGTCTGTGGCAGTTTTCTAGTCGCTTGGAGGGGAATTTGAGAGGGCCTCAGAGGGTTCTTTCCTCACTCCACCATCTTGGCACTAGAAGTCTGTGTAGTGGTATCGTTTTTATTTTTTATTTTTAAATTTTTTTTTAGGCAATTGGAGTTAAGTGACTTGCCCAGGGTCACACAGCTAGTGTTATGTGTTTGGTCTGAGGTTGGATTTGAACTCAGGTCCTCCTGACTTCAGGGCTGGAGCTCTGTCCACTGCATCACCTCGCTGCCCCAATAGTATCGTTTTTAATAAAGAGTCAATGAAGGATTTTGATAATAATAGAGGCCAACTTCTACTCTTTACTCATACCAAAAAGAGGTCAAGAGTTTGACCCAGGCGAAAGGATGCTAGATCTGGACTCCGGGGAACACGGATTCCAATCGTGGCTCTGGCTCCTCCTGCCTGGGGGCCGGGGGTCAGTCTGTGCACCCGTCTGGGATTCAGTTTCATCGTCAGCCCCACGAGAGGTCTGGACTTGAGGGCTTTTGTGGTCCTTTCAACTCTCAGCCAATGACCCTCCTGTGCTCCGAGGGATGGGGACTGAGAAAGGGCCACTACATTTAGCCATTAAGAACTTAGGGATGGTTTTGGAGAAGGAGAAAGCAGGATTCTAGACGGTCTGGAAGAGTGCGAGGAGAGGGCACGAAGGCCACAAGGGCAGACAGATGTTTCAAGGAGACTGGCCAGGAGAGTAAAAGCATCAGGGAGGGCTGGCAGGGATGGCGGCCCTATCCGCTATCAGCAGATCTGCCCTGTCTGCACAAAGTCCTCCCTTACCACCCCATGGCTAGCATGGACACCGAGGTGACTTTCTGCAGACCTTCTACACTCTGCATTCACTTTTCCATGTACGTGTTGTTTCCTCCCACAGTAGAAACACCCCTTGAAAGGAAGGACTATTTTAGGGTTGTCTTTCTATGGAGAGGTTTGCCCTGTGCCATAGGATACAAAGCCTGGAGTCAGGAAGACCTGAGGTCAAATCCTGCTTCAAATGCGGACTAGCTGTGTGCTCCTGGGTAAGTCACTTAACCTCTATTTGACTCAGTTTCCTCGACTGTAAAACGGAGATAATAATGGCACCCACCTCCCAGAGGTGTCGTGAGGATCAAATGAAATAACCATTGTAAAGCACTTAACACAGTGGCTGGCACATAGTAGGTGCTATATAAACGTTAGTTGCTCTTATCATCACTAAATATGATGATGATAATGATAATAATAATAATAATAATTATTATTATTCTTAAATGCCTATGGAATTCACAAACCTCCCCTTGTGGAAGTTTGAGTCTAGGAAGAAGACAAGACCCAGGCAAGGATAAGGACGGCCACAGGCCCCCAGCGAGTAATGCAAAAGGGATTTCAAAACATACCCCGGGAGACAAGACTCGAGAAAAAAGGACAGCATATGTAAAAAAAGCATCATTCTTACCTTTATTACAAGAAATACATCTTGGGAGGGATAAGTGATAGAAAAAATGGCAGATCTTGCCAATGTGGTGATCGCAGCAGGGGGCACGTGGGGGCGCAGCATGCCTTTCATTTGTTCAGAGTTAAGGTCAAAGTAAAAATTCTCTGAAATCTGAAAGAGAGGGTTTTTTTGCTTTTTTAAATGCAGTTAAAATTTATTTTATTTAGCCATCAATTTAATAAAGCTACATGTACTCAATCAAAAAGGTTATAGAAGCAACTATAAAAGCCTCTGTTAACATAATTTATGAAACACAACTACAAGCAACCTTTTGACGCCCAATGAGGGTAAACTGTGACAAGAAAAAAAATCTTCAACTACTCATAAAGGCTACTATTGTACCCTCAAGCATCTTGTTCCAAATTTGTTTAGCAGACATATTTCTCAATGTGACAAATCAGGGAATTGTGTTTCAGAATAAACGCTTCCAAACTGTGTGATTGTTTTTTGCTAAGAAGCCTGGTAAATCTTAGCATGCCAAGTACCATCATATAGTGTGGTTGGACAGAACTCAAGCAATCTGGGAGACGCCACTCACAAGCAGGTCGCCGATGACCTTATACCTATTTCTTTCCCGTAAACAAAGATTTAAAACAATAAAATAAGGGCTAATTTAGGGGGAAATGCTGCTCCCTACCCCCACCACCTCTAACGCTATGTGATTTTCTTAGTGAATATGCTGGGAACTCAGTGACCAACTAAGGAGGCTAAAACACCCGCACGGAAGGACAGCGTCAGGCAGCCCAAAGCTCAAGATCTCACGAGGTTGGCAGGGAACACAAAGGCCACCAAGGAAACTTTTTTCCAACTTCTGCTGAGGAAAAGGCTGAAATATGGGCAAGTGGCCCAGCTTGGGGTGGGCAGGTAAGGGCAACCAATGGCAGAGACAAACCAAAAACACTTCAACTTTTGGTCTGCCGTCAGTCAAGGAGAATGATCTCTGACCTGAAAAGGGCAGAACCTAAAGGGCTCACCACAGCTGAAGCATGCGTGGGCATGTTCCAGGTAGCAAGCCCGCACAACTGGGCACGCCAACAACCAGAGGGCACCACTGCCGGGGCGCCCTCCCTGGCATCAGAAAACCCTGGTGCGTGGAAGCACTATTGCAGACTTGGCAAAGGGCAAGCATTTTTGATGAGATTTTCATAAGGGGCCAGAGAGTGGAATTTGAAGGCTCTGGGCCAAGGAGTCTGAGTTTGAATGGTGGCAAACCTCAAGAGGGCGTTTCTGAAAAGATCAGGAAAGAAATAGCCAAGTGCAAAGAACCAGCACAATTCTTAAAGAACAGTCATGGCAGCTGGCCTAGGAGGGAAGGCATTTCACTAGGAAGGTCAGAGCAGGATGAATCTGCCGATCAAAGCACCCCACAATGACCATCTCCCAAGAAGCAGAGGAGCTGTGATTTGCATTGGTGAGAGAATCAATTACGTCACAAATCCCTGAAATACTACATTATGAATTTTTTATTGACACTTAAACATTAAAAGACCATGATGAGTTCCTCCTTACCACCTCCAAAAGGAAAAAGGAAGGGGCAGCTAGGTGGCGCAGCGGATAGAGCACTGGCCCTGAAGTCAGGAGGACCTGAGTTCAAATTCAGCCTCAGACCAAACATTTGACACTTACTAGCTGTGTGACCCTGGGCAAGTCACTTAACCCCAATTGCCTAAAAAAAAAGGAAAAAGAAAAAAAAGACAAGTGATGATAGACTGAACTGTTTCCCTTTTCGGGGAAGGTGGGGAACAAGACTGAGGGATAAGATGACCAGACCCCGAAAGGAGTCATCAATGGTTCAGTGTCAACTTGGAAAGAAAGCTTCAAAACAATGTCAAAGTGATAGATATCTTTTTGGTCTGAAATATTTCACATTATTATTACTGACTTGGATAAGGGGCTTCCTTATTATATCTGCAGATGATAAACATCTGAGAATAGTTAACACACTGGATGGCCAAAAGGGTCTTCATAAGCTTGACCACTGGGCTGAATCCAGTAAGATGAAATTGGAAAGATTAAGATTGATCCTGTATCATTTTCTTACTGATCCTACTTACAGGTAATTGATTTTGTCCTGTAACTGCTTACATCATGGCTCTTTATCTCTGAACTTAGTTCAGAATTCAGCTGGCCTATAATGGGCTAATTTTAGAAAACCAGCCCCCCTGCTAATCACTGATCTATTCCTGCCTCAAGTAATTTGACCTTGGGAATGTGGGTGAATGCAAGGGAGTCAGGCCTGAGATCTTAACTAAGCTATCCTCTAAGGATATCTCTTTTCTGTCCAAAGGTCTGGGCCACCATCTCGCACCTGGACTCGAGCCATGAGCACTCTGTGGTCTCAGGAGAGAAGAAAGGCCAGGGGTGGGGCTGGGGGACGGCGGAGATTTTTGCCAGCCCCCCCCAAACTTTTGACCGACGTTTTTCCCTGCACCTCAGCTTTGTAACCAGTCACGTTGCCCTCGATCCCACGATGTCATCTACCCTGTTCTGTTCTTTTTTCTGCACCCCCCAAACCCTATATATATGGAACTGTCCTTTTTCTCAGGGTCTCTGGCATAAATGGAGGCAAGCCATTGACCCATTTACTGACAGGCAGTATGCCCCTGCTAATAAATGTTACCTTGTGCAGAGATCTGCCTCAGTTTATCCTTTTGTTAAATTTCAAACACAACCACATTCAATAGGGATCACTGTAAAGTCACACAGTTGGGGTCCAAAGAACCAATTATGCCAAAGGCCCAAGTACGCCACAGGAAGGCATAACTAGAGAGCTCACCAGAAAAGATCTGGGTGTTTTCATGAACTCTAACACCAGCATGAGTCCAGAAGGTCGCATGAAAATCAAAAGTGATGCCATTTCAGGCTGCGCATCAAGCCAGACTCAGAACACGGAACATGGTAGTGCTACTGCCCTAGGCAGACCATCCTTCAGTGTGCTCAGTCGTAGAAGGCACATCTTAAGCAGGATGTCAGCAGGCTGGATGACTTCCAGAAGGTGGCCAGGATAATGAGGGGCCTGGGGGCCGTAACATATGAAGATTGATGGAGAGAACTTGGAATGTTGTGCTTAGAGAAGAGAATGCTTCTCTAAGAGGTTACCTACATTCAAGTATTTAGAGAGTAAAGAAGGAACTCGACTGGTTCTGCCTGGTTCTGAACAGCAAAATTAGGAACAATGGGTATAAATGGCGAAAAGACAAGTTTTAGTTCCAAATGAAGAAAAGCTTCCTAATAATTAGGAGTCTAAAGAGTGGAATGGACTGCCTTAACAGATTCCACATCCTTAGGAGTCTTCAACCAAAGCCCGGAGTGGAGGATCCTGATGAAAGAATTCTTAGGGGCAGAGCCAAGATGGCAGAGTGGCAAGGAGCATTCAGGGGAGCTCCCCTCTACAAACTCCTCCAAAGAGATCCAGAAAATGCATCGGACTGAATCCTAATGGGGAAATCCAGAAAAAGTCTCATCAAGTCCTTTGTCCAGCTCAGCACACAGACAGGGAGGTCTGCAGATACTAGGGATGGGATTGGGCTTGGAGCATGTAGGGCATAGAGTACTACAGTGCCCCAAGGAAGTCCTAGACCTACACTGGGTCCCTGCGACAGGGACAGGATGAGCCGACACTTTTGTCGCCCATTACCCAGCCCCAAGTCACAGATCCTGGGCAGACTGAAAAGGGGACTGAACATAGGGGAGTTGTGTTAACCGTCAGGAGGCCCTGGGCACTGTGCTGAGAAAGGAAGCAGCAGCTGTAGTGGTGTGGTTCAGGATCAAGGTGCAGAAGTGGACCTTAATTCCAGCATCTGGCCCAGCCTGCAGAGGAATAATCAGGGCAGGAATCCCAGACCAGAGAGGAGCCTACAATTCTGTCACTCTGAACTAACAGCTTCCCAGGAGCTGACAGGCAGGGTCTGGTCCCAGTCAACCCTTGTTCAGATCCAAAACCAGAAAAGAACTTGCGGAGGTTAGACCAGGGGGCACAATCAGACTTTGCCCTGATCAGACCCCTTCGGGAGTTCTGAAAGCTTGCACGCCTCTGGCCTGTCCCTGAGATTCTGAAGTAACATAACTCTCAATGCCCCAAGAAAGTAGCCACAGGACCAGCCCAGATCTTCCTTCCAGACATGCACAAAGCCAGCCCTGATACTAAGCCAAAAGACAAGAATAAGGCTAGAAGAATGGGCAAACGAAAGAAAAGAATCCCATCATAATAATGGTTTATGGTAGCGATGGATTATGGTGGCAGGGATGCTCAAGACACAAAGAAGAGAATGACTCCAAAACTTCTACAAGCAAAGCCTCAAAGAAAAACACAGCTTGGGCACAAACTCAACTAGAATTCCTGCAAGGGGTGAAGCAAGAGTTTAAAAAATAGCTTTCCTTTGACCCAGCAATAGCGCTTCCAGGGCTGTATCCCAAAGAGATAATACAAATGGGAAAAAGACCCACATATACAAAAATATTTATAGCAGCTCTTTCTGTGGTGGCAAAGAACTGGAAATTGAGAGGATACCCATTAATTGGGGAAGGGCTGAACAAGTTGTGGTATATGAATGTAATGGAATACTATCATGCTGTAAGAAATGATGAGCAGGTGGACTTCAGAAAAACCTGGCAAGCTCTGTATGGACTGATGCTGAGTGAAGTGAGCAGACCAGAAGAACATTGTACATAGTAACAGCCACACTGTATGATGACTAACTTTGATAGACTGAGCCCTTCTCAGCAATGCAAGGATCTAAGACATCTCCAAAAGACTCATGGTGGAAAATGCTATCCACATCCAGAGAAAGAACTATGGAGTCGAAACGCAGATCAAAGCATACTGTTTGCTCTTTTTTTTTCCTTCTGTTTTGTTTTGTTTCTTCTTTCTTGTGGTTCCTCCTACTGGTTCTAATTCTTCTTTACAACATGACTAATGTGAAAATATGTTTAATAGGAATATATATGTACAGCCTATATCAAATTACATGCCATGTTGGGGAGGTAGATGGTGAAAGAGGGGGAGAAAATTAAAAACTTATGGAAGTGATTGCTGAAAACTAAAAACAAATAAATTAATTAAAAATAGCTGTAAAATGCTTTTATAAAAGAAATGAGAGCACTTGAGGAAAAAAAATGAGAGCTATGGAAGAAAGAATTGGAAAGGGAATTAAAAGCTCAGTTTAAGACGTACAAAACCTTGTCCACACAATAAACTCCCTGAAAAGTAGAATGTTCCAAAGAGAAGTCAATGACTCCATGAAGCAACAAAAAATATCAAAACAAAGCAACAAGGTTGAAAAAAAATAGAAGAAAATATAAAGTATTTTACAGCAAAACAACTGACCTGGAAAACAGATCAAGGGGAAAAATATTAAGAATCACTGGACTACTTGAACATCATGACCGAAAAAGAGTTCAGACATCCTATTTCAAGAACACTTAAAAGAAAAATGCCCAGATCTCTTAGAACCAGAAGGCAATGTGGAAATAGAATTCACTCAGTCACCTCCTGAAAGAAACCCCGCAAATGAAATCTCCCAGGAAAATCACAGTCAAAATCCAGAATTTCAAGGTCAAGGAAAAAAACACTGCCAGTAGTCAGAAAGAAAGAATTCAAGTATGGAGGAGTCACAGCCAGGACCATGCATGATTTAGCAGCCACCTCTATAAAGAAACAGAGAGCTCGGATATGTTATTCCATAAAAGACAAATTCACAGCAATGAGAATAAGATTGGTCTAAACATCACACTATAAAAACAAAGTCAATGAGAAACTAATTTTGCCCAAATTACAGGAAGTCTCTCAAGGTAGGGTACATATGCATGTGAAGAGGGATATCTGGATAAATAGCGAGACACACACACACACACACACACACACAGATACACAGAGATACGTAGGAAGATCTATAGATACAGGATGGGTGTTGCCCAATGGACAATAAGCTTGGCAAAGAAAGAGAAAATAATCCATGAAACAGTAATTCATAATATCCTTTCATTTATCCCAAGCTTTGAGTTGCTACAAAAGTCTCTCTCTTTCACACCAGTTCTCACTCAGGGATGCTTGTTGTCCATAAACTTAAAAAAAACAAAATGACACATAATCCAAAGGACAATGGAACTTTGCCAATGAAACTTCTACTCCAAGATGAGGACAGAAACTATGGAAATACAGAATCACTGTGCTGGAAGGGACCTCTGTGACCATCTATGTGACTACAGGAGACAGTCCATCATCTAGCAAAAATTCAAGTCCACAAGCGCAGCTGGAGGCATCAGGACGTAACATTAGAAGTGCCAGGGTGGTCAGCCAGGCTTCTGGGCTCCCATTCCAGTTCTCACCCTGACTACACAAATCTGTGTGAGCCTCTTTGGCCCTTGGTCTCTTCATCTCCAAAGTGAAGAGGCCACATCAGCTGATCTCTAAGCTACTTCCCCAGTGGGAATCTCTGATCATCCGTGCATTACTACACTGGTCCTCCTGAGATATTTAAAGAACCAGAGCTGACCCTAGAATGGTGGCTATGTATGTACAGCCTTGATGTAGCACTTACTTTTTAAAGAAGTGGACTGAATAGGAAGGTATATAGGTACCAGTTTACATCAGTGAAATAAGAACCCAAAGCAACAAGATCACAGCTATTAAAATCATAAAAGAAGCATATTCTTCAACACAGAATATTCTAAAACCAAAAAGAATATTGTTTTAGCTACTGCAAAAAGCAATGAGAACATCTGATGACTATCATTTTCTTAATGTTTGCCTAACACACCTTTCCTCTATGACCAAGTTTTTTGATTAATAACAACATTCAAGAACTCTGCCATTCATATCTAATTCTCTATATTGTTCACTTTTAACATTTTTTCAAAGAAATGAAATCACTAAATGACTTTGGAGTTTACCATCAAGTTTGCTTCAAAATAGAAAAATGCACAACAATCTTTAGAATTAACATTTTTACCTAAAATTTCTGTGTTTTTTGTCAAGACAGATCAAAAACCATTTATTAGGTGCCTACTATGTGCCAAGAACTCTGCAAATGCTGGTAAAAGATTAATGTTTACTAATTAGTTACTTGGCAATTTAAGTATTTCACATATGTCTTGCAAAATAACATTCTAGAAACATTTTAAAAAATATGGCCTAAGATTACAGCTAAAAATATCAAAATAAGATTTCAGAAAATTTTTTAAAGTTACCAATGATTATGACTGAAAAATATGTTCCCATATTTCCCAAACTTACCTTTTTCTTTTCCTTGACATCATATAAAGCCAAACTTGCAAAAATGGGTTCAATTTCAATTTCAAATCTAAAGAAATAATAACAACGTGGTAAATTCCCCACAAGAAGAAAATATTAAATTTTAACTGATGTATTTTTCATACATATGACCAATCACTTCCCAAAACACCTAGCTGTATTAGGAGCTTTAGAGGGGAACACGATTACTGTTTTCAAACATCCGATGGGCTGTCAAATGGAACCGTATTAGAATTGTAGTTCAGAACTAGGAGAAATGGGTGGCAACTGCACGGAGGAAGATTTGGGATTGATTAAGGAGGATTTCCTAACCCAGCCATCCTGAAGTGGGCTGACCAGGCCGCCTCAGGACCAGCGAGCTCCCTCTCCAAGCCAAGGCTGAACGGACACTTCTCAGTGATGCTTGGAGAGGAATCCTGGTCAGGTGAGGCTTGGGCCACGTGGACACTGGGCTTTCCTGGAGGCCGGGTTCTGGGACAAAGAAAATCATTTCCATGACGCTCCTCATCAAGAGATATGGGACAGACTACCGAAGTGTCTACAACTCCAATCAGATAAAACACCAATGAATTCTGATTCTTTCCTCCAGGTAAGCCATCTAAAGGGAGCTGCTACAAACGGCACCTTACCCATAAAAAAGGTAAGAGATGAAGGAGGCAGCACGGCCCAGTGGCAGAGGAGCCCCTCCCAGAAATATCTTGGACTGGCCACACAGTTCTCTGAGACTCTTAACTTCACACAAGTTGCTAATCTGCATTAGTGATGTCATCTCCACAGAGAGTTGCCCTGCGCCGGTGAAATCTTAGGTCTGATACAAAATAACACTAATAATAAGGTCCAAAATGTTTCACTGTAACCCAGTCTTAAGGACGGTTCTTTGCCGTCACCAATGCCAGGAGACAGATGGAGGTAAAACTTCCAAACCCTCCCCCCACCCAGAGTCCTGTGTCCCTGTCTCATGGCAGCATGTGCTGATGACCTCAATGAGGAGGAGCTCACAGAGGGCGGCTTCTGTGGATCCCATCATGAAGAGCTGCCGTTTCTATGGGGTTTACATCATGGAAAATGCTGCCCACCCTCCATCTCGTTGGAGCAGAGACAGAAGAGAGGTGCCCTCGTGCACAGGCCAGGCCGTGCTGGAGGAAGGCGCCGTATTAAGGAATTCCAACACAATTTCTCCTCTGCCCTACACATCTCTAACGAGCCTTAAAGGTTAACACTTGGGAGACGGACTTTATGGCTGTCTAATGATAAATCAAACTAAATTTAAAGAAGGTCGTTAATCAACCAATGAACGTGTATTGATTGAAGACTATGCACCAGGCACTGCTAAGTCCTGGGGATACAAAGAGTCAAAAGACAGTCCCTGACCTCAAGGAGCTTATGACCTAATGGGGGACATGACATGCACACAAACATACACAATGCGAATCAGAAATGATGAACAGAGGGAAGGCTCTGGAAGGCAGCCGGTAAAAGATGGGACTTGGGGCTTCGTCAAACCCAGACTAACTGTGGGTGGATGAGTTTTTGGCTGAAGCAACTCTCAGACAGTATCTGCCATGAGGCTGCAGAGCGACTGTGACCTTCATGGGCGGAAGAGCTCACACGAACAAATTAACAGATGCACAAAGTACAGAAGTTTACCTCCAGGCCTGGAAGCCTGATACCAAGCTTATCTGTTAATTAAAAACTAATGACATAATATGAAGACAAACCGCAAAGCCCTTTCCCCCTAAACATAAGCACAGCAGTTGAATGGAAAGGCAGGGCAGTAGCGCAGAGGAGAGGGTACTGGAGCTCTGGCTGGTGCCAGAAGACCTGCCCTCCAAGTCTGTTTCAGGCACTTTGGGGCAATGTGTCTCTGGGCAAGTCCCCCAACCTCACAGCCTCAGTGTCCTCAACTGTGAAATGGGGATAATAACAGCACCTACCTCCTGACTGTTGGGAAGATCAAATGAGATAATATCTGTAAAGCCCTTAGCACACAGGAGGCGCTATATAAACACTTATGCCTTCTCCCTTCCCCCGACTGTGTCTTCCACATACTCTATGGAGAATTTATTTACAAGGGCAAGTACTAGTGGAAATAAATCTGGACAACTACTGATTGATTTTTTTTTCTGAGCTGAAGGTGGTTTCCAGTCTAGATATTTCATCAGTAAAGGGAATCCCCAGTGTAGAAGTACCCTCCATCAATGCCGCATGGTGACTTCCCATAACCTCCGTCTTGGGGTCGTCTGGTGCGACAGGCCAGGGAATGAGCAGAGGGGTCCCCTGGCCCTTCGGTGTCCGAAGCATGACTTGACCCAGGTATTACTGATCCCAAGGCCAGCCCTTGGCCCCCGGCGCCAACACTGAGCTGCCCCGTGCCCGAACGCCGAATCTTCAGTCGTGCTTCCACTTTATCTGATGTTCTCTGTCACCTTGCCCCTTATGAAGTGTCTGATGGACAAGGCCATATCTCTAACACTGTTGGGTCAACCTGGATGGCTGGTGGCCTAACTGGGGATAAACAAGACAAATACGGCAGCTAGGAGCTTTATTCCTCTAAGGGAGCAACAGTAAAATTTTCACCTGTGTTCTCAGAGAAGAGTTATAGGCACAGGGAGTCCTCTGTCCAAAAGCGCCAGCTCATTAAACCTGCCTAACAGGTTTCCAGTAAAAGGTCATCAAATGTTTAAAACATTTGCTCTTAAAGGAATACAGTCGTGGTTTTCAAGTGGGTCCCTAAGACATGGTAGCTTTTTTAATGCTCTTAATTACTATAACATCTTAATTCTTTTCTCTCAAATATTCTTTCTTTAAAGAAATAAGTGACGGGATAATTAATTCTGACAGAAACAAAGCAAGATCTGTTAAAAATCCTAAGGTTTACCAACTTGATCGTCTGGGGACAAAGGTGAGATCATATTCTATAGGCAAAGAAAAATTCTCTGCAAAATCCTGAAGAGGCAACTTTAAAACCTCTGTGTCCCACCATGGGAAACAGTGACTTTTATCTTAAACCTTCAAAAATCGTTTATTGTATCCTGCCACATGTAACAGATACTGGCATCTAAACACAGACCTTGGAATGGACCTTCGCATGGAAAAGCGAAGGGGCAGAAGTGGCAGGAGGGATGAGGAATATTCCATCTCATGCAAAATCATCGTGGAAAATAAACTCAAACAGGAAAAGAAATAAATACTTACTTGAGGGACAGGCATTTTACAAGAAGTCTTTGACCAAAATGTTCTTTGGGTATTTCAGGAATGCTGAGTCTTTCTATGGGTTCTTCCTACAAATTGAAGAACAAAATTGAAAATGAACAAGCTTTTCAAAGTTTAGCAGGGCAGCATACATTTTCAAAAGTTATTCTACCACAAGTTAGACATTATGCTATAATCCTTTCATTTGCAGGGGCAGCAAAAATGATGTTGATGTTTCTAAATAATGAGCAGGAAAGAAAGTCTGAGCACAATTCAAAATCGCTAAAATGTCAACGTGGCTTGGCTTAAGCCTAAGCTATGGCACAAGAAATCCATTCACTTCCAACAATTTAACTTTGAAAGTTAAGCAACTGGGCCAAGTTACACTCCTTTTGGTCCCACAAAGTTTAAACACTGTACTAATATTCCTAAAGTTTCTAATCCAGTCAATTCAACAAGCAAGAATTCTCTGAGTACTTCCGAGGAATGTGTAAACCACTGTTCTAGGGAAAGTCAGTGAGGAAGAAGGCTTGCCCTCCACAGGAGACCAGAACAAAGAATGAGTTCTGAGACCAAGGGAGAAGCCCATTCACCAGCAGAGCACATAGGGACGTTGGCCTCGCTTGTCCCCATTGTCCGTGAACCCATGTACCTCATCTGGTGCCGGGTGCAGCGCAAAAAGCTCCTTGTGCCGGTTGGATTTTCTTTGGTCGTCATTCTGATGGTCAATGTCTTCGTTTGGAGTCCGGTCGAGCAGGCTGGGGAGCAGGGCATCCGGCAGAGAATTCTTCAAGTCAAAGATGCTGCAGGCCCAACTGCCCCTCGGAGTGTCGTCGATGGACATGGATCGCCTTTTGAGGTCATCCTGTGATGTGGAACGTCAAGCATACACAATCCAATGAGCAATGGGTACATTTTTAAACGCTCAAGTTAAAAATAGTTTTTGTGGTCAAATGTAAAGAATATTACTTGTTCATCCTGGTAGCTGTTACCATCGGGGGCTTCATCGGATTCGAAGATCTGTTTGGGCAAACCTTTCTGCCTTTCCTTCTGTTTGTCTAATGTGTTAGGATTAAAGCCGGTTCCCAGTTTGTGGTACCTATCAAAAAAATGTCAAGCATTTAAACCCACTTTATCTTTGTCAAACTCAATTCATCAGTGTCATTACTCAAAGAGTACATATTTCTCTGCAATATTTCCTGCTGTTTTAAAAATAATAATGCCCAATAGAATGGCAAATGTGTACAGTAAACAAATAGCCATCCACCCAAGGTACCATAACATTTAACGTTCATTTAATAATATTCACTGTCTTCCACTCCCATTTCCTCGTACTCTCACAAATGTGTGTGACAGTGAGTCAGTCAATAAACACTGATTGAGCACCTACTGTATGCAAGGCTGTGTATTAAGCACTTGGGATACAAAAAGAAGCAAAAATCAAGTCTGCCCTCAAGGAGCTCACAATCTAATGAGGGAGACAGCATGCAAACCAATCTATACTAAGTAAACCATACACAGGGTAAACAGGAAAAAATCAACAGAGGGGATTAAATGGGATTGGGAAAGGCTTCTGGTGGAAGATAGATTTTAGCTGGGTATTAAAGAAAGCCAGGGAGGTTGGTAGTCAAAGAGGAACTGGGAGAACACTCCAACCATGGGGATGGTCAGAGAAAATGCCCAGAGCAGAGAGATGGAGGGTCTTACCATGGCAGAGCCAAGATAGTGTCACTGGATTAAAGAGGACATGGGGAGAAAGGTGTGAGAAGACTGGAAAGGCAAGAGGGCCCTATGCTAAGAGGGACTTATAATGCCAAACAGGATTTCTGAATTTGATCCTGGAAGCAATAGGGAGCCACTGGAGTTTATTAACCTGGGAAAATTGGGGGTGGAATGTATTTTAGGAAAATCACTTTAGTGGCTGAATAGAGGACAGATTGAAATTAGGAGAGACTGGAGGCAGGGAGACCCCCCCAGCAGCTACTGCCACGGTCCAGGCGTGGGGGGACGAGGGTCTGCACGGGGTGGGGGATGTGTCAGAGGAGAGATGGGGGAGTATTGGAGAGATGCTGCAGAGGTGAACTCTACAGGCCTTGGCAACAGCTTGGATGTGACGGTGAGAGAGAGTGAGGAACCTGGGATGACTCCTAGGTTGGGAGTCTAAGAGACCCTACAGTAACAGAGGAAATAAGAGGGGAGCACCTGAGGGCAAAAAATAATGAGTTCTGCTTTGGACATGTTGAGGTTAAGCTGTGCACAGGACATCCAGCTAGAAATGTTTGAAAAGCAGTTGGAGATGGGAGACTGGAGGTCAGCAGAGAGAATGGGCAGGATGGCGAGATCTGAGAATCATTAGTACAGAGACAGGCATTAAATCCAGGGGAGCTGAGGAGATCACCTAGTGAAGTGACATAGAGGGAGAAGAGAAGAGGGCCCAGGACAGAGTCCTGAGGGACACGTGATCCAGCGGAGTTACAAGCAAAGGAGACTGAGAAGGAGTGGTCAGAGAAGTAGGAGGAGACTGAGGAGAGAGAGGTGTCCTAAAAACCTGAAGAGAAGAGATTACCAAGAAGGAGAGAGGGCCAACAGTGTCAGAGGCTGCAGGGGGGTCAAGGAGAATGAGCATGGAGAAAAGACTGCTGGATTTGGCAACCAGTAACGTGTGCGTGTTTGCACACTTGATGTGAAACTCCAGAAGATCTTTCCAAATTCTAGTGAATCAGGAGATTCTCTCTAGTCAGCTGGTGACCCAAGAACCTGGGGAAACAGAAAGGAACAATGGACCAGCTGAGATTAGATGAAGAGGACGTCACCATTACACAGCGGGCATGAGGAAGGCCATTTTAACAAAAGTATCCGGCAATGATTATTGAAAGGTAGAAGAAAGGCTGAGAGGCCAAGATAAACAATGAAAAAATAATCTGAGTGAAAAGGGACCCTGCTTCTACAGGAATCTGAGGTTTAGACCCAGAGTGACCGACAGCAAAGACAAGCTTACCCATACCAACTGCTGCCTGTGTGAAAGATGGCCTTAGATCACTTAAAAAACGAAGCCAGTGAACACCGCCCCGCCCGTTACCCACAAAATGCCCAGGGTTCAAACTACGCCATTGGTCTGACCTCCACCTCCAGGCTTCCTCGGATCCACGCCCTGAGAGCCACTGTTCACACCCTGTGTTCACCCGACCCCTCGTGTATTCCAGCAGAGGCAAGCAGACGCACACAAGCCTTCACGAAGCACCTGCTAGCAGGCGATTCCTGGACCAGCACAAGGGTCAGGTCTGCAAGGAATCCCTCACCTCCTGTCTTCTTCCTAAAGTTACCCAAACGGCAGCAAGCAATGCTCACGTCACGGCAGAGATAAAGAGGGAGCTGCTGCCCATCTCCAGCACTGCCAGAAAGACACGGACCAGGACCATGCAGTTGTCATGGTTATAATTCAGGAGCAGAGGGTTTAATTCCGTTGTGAAAACTTAATTATGCTTCCAATCAGTAAGTTTTGCTTCTACCCTACTTTTATAAAACTGAAAAATGCTGAACTTCCTTCCCCCCAATGCCTTCTACATTTATAAGAGAATTCCTGACTGCCCGGGCTGCTTAGGGAAGGCTTTGGAGTTAACAAAAGACGTTCCTTACAACCACCCTGGGAAGCAGAGAGTGGAGGAATTACCATCCATACATAACAGCTGAAGGCCTGGAGTCCCAGAAAAAAGAAGTAACACAGGTGACATTATAACCAAATTGGGGGAAATTGGAAAAATTTGCCTGTCAGATCTATCGACAGGAAAGAGTTTATGATCAGACAAGAGGAAGAGAGTAAAATGGACAATTCTGATTACTTTAAATTGAAAAGTTTTTACACAAAACCAATACAATCAAAACTAGAAGGAAAGACAGAAACTGGGGGGGGAAAGCCTTTACAGAAAGTTTCTCTAATAAAGGTCTCATTTCTCAAAAATATAGGGAACTGAGACAAATTTATAAAAATAAGAGTTATTTCCACACTGATAAATGATTAAAGGCTATGAAAAAGCAATTTACAGAAGAAAAAATCAAAGAGTCACATAAAAAATGCTCTAAATCACTTTGATTAGAGAAACATAGATGAAAACAACTCTGAGCTATCACCTCATACCCATCAGATTAGCTAATATGAGAAAAAAGGAAAATGCCAAATGTTGAAGGGGACATAGGAAAATTGGCACACTAATGCACTGTTGATGGAGTTGTGACCTGGTCCAACCATTCTGGAGAACAATGTGGAACTATGCCCAAAGGGTTATAAAAATGTACATACCCTTTGACCCAGCAATACCACTACTAGGTCTGTATCTCAAACAGATCAAAGAAAAAAGAAAAGGACCTATATGTACAAAAATATTTATAGCAGTTCTATTTGTGGTAGCTAAGAATTGGAAATTGAGGTGATGCCCATCAATCAGGGAATGGCTGAACAAGTTGTGGTATGTGATTGTGATGGAATACTATTGTGCTGTAAGAAATGACAAGCAGGATGCTTTCAGAAAAACCTGGAAAGACTTACAGGAACTGGTGCAAAGTGAAGTGAGAAGATCTGGAAGATTATCATACAAAGTAACAGCAATATTATGTAATGATCAACTGTGAAAGATTTGGCTACTCTGATAAAGGCAACAATCCAAGACAATTCCAAAGATTCATAATAAAAATGCTATCCACCTCCAGAGAGAAAACTGATGAACTCAGTGCAGACTGAGGCAATTGTTTTCTCTTTATTTTTCTTTACTTTTTTTTTTCATAACATGGCTAATGTAGAAATATGTTTTGCGTGACTTCACATATATAATAGATATCATATTTCTAGCCTTCTTGATGGGTGGGGGAGTGAATAAAGGGGAGAGAATTTGGAACTGAAAGTAATTGTTGTTGAATTTTTTTAACCTTCCTTTCAAAAGAAATGCCTCCTTTTGTTTCCTCTATTTAAAAAAATCTGTTCCATCAGTTGCACGGAAGGCACTACTACAATAAACACTGTTCGTGGTGAGCAACCAGACACGACTATGCTGAAATCACAGACCAGCATCAAGGTGCTGCCAGTCTCACAGCTTTAAAGCTTCATGGAAAAACTTCTTTTTAAGTTTTATTGAAGCTTTTCCTATTCCTTATCACTTTCATTTTACAGTGACTGCTTCTTGGCACCAGTGCCCCCCACTGCAAAGGAGTCCAGTTAATGAAAGCAAACCTTTGCCTTCTTTAGCACCTAAAATTCCACCTGCTCCAGGAGGAGAAGGGAGATAAGGTTCATTGACACCATCTAAGGCCAAGCCTGATCACTGCACCGATCAGACTTCAGATACTTCTCAAAGTTTTTTTCCATTACATTGTTGTGGTCACTGTATAACATTGTTCTGACTGCTTTTTTCACTCTACCATTTCAAGAAAGTTTTACTACCCAGTTTCCCTAAATTCTTCATATTTACTAATTCTTTTATCAAAATAATAATATTCCTCAACTGAGAAGCAAGCCAATTCCTACGTGAGTAGAGGGAAGAGTATGAATGTGAGATGTTGCAGATTTATCAACTGACTGGATACCAGGCTGCATGTGTAGACATCATCAGCATCATCAACACCGAGATGATCGTTAAGCCCAACAGCAATGCCACAGGCACTAAGGAGACAGTGCAGAGAAAGAAGAAGAGGGCCTAGGACAGAGCACTGTGGAATGCCCACAATGGGGGGGTGGGGGGTGTACCACGGAGGAAGATCCAGACAAAGAGAAGGAGATGGAACCACGGAAGCCAGAGCACAGCATCGCGTAGGCCCAGAGAAGGCGGCCAAGGACGTCGATGTAGGATACACATGGTGAAGTCCTCGGGAGGACTTCCGTGGGAGACTACGAGCAGGACTGAAGTATAAAGTGATAAGAATCAATGGAGGTGAAAACCAGTCAAAGAAAGCAACAACGGAAAACAACCAAGGTGGAAAATGGAAAAAACCTGTGCAGGTTTTCAAGAAAACCTTTTCACCATCACTAACAGTGGATCTGGACTCTAGTGCCAGTTTTTGATGTGCTAAATGACAAAGTGGAAATGTTACTGAAGAAATTAAAGATGGGAAAAGTAAGCAAACTACACCAAGTATAAAGAAAGATGTCTGAGCTTCAGGCAAAGTCACCGAATTCTATTCAAATCCAGCTTCAGATACTAATTAGCTACATGACTGCAGGCAAGTCCTTTAACTTCTGTCTGCCTCAATTTCCTCTGCTGTAAAATAGGAATATTAATGGCACCTGCCTCTCAGGAAGGTTGTGAAGATCCAATGAGATAACATTTGTAAAGCACTTAGCCCAATGCTAGGCACACAGGAGACGCTTAATAAAATCTTCTCCTCGGTTTGGGAGAAACGATCAAGGCATGAAGAAGGGAGAATACCAAAAATTTGGGAAATATCTCAGACTTTATTGTTACCTCCAAGATAAATGAGATACTATCAGTAACTGCCTCCTTTCCTGGCTCTACAAAATTAATATAAAATGAACCAAAATGATGCACTGAAGAACCTACGAGAAAGGATTTGGAAGGCTTCCACAAACTATATGCCACAAAACCCACAACTTTTTAGGCGCACAAAGACTGAGAGATATAGAGAGCATCAGATCTCACAAACCGATGGATGGATGGATGGATGGATGGATGAATGGATGGACAAATGAATGAATGGGCATGTGTGAAGCAGTTTGTAAGTGCCTAGGCCTAAGCTAAGCACTGAGGATAAAAATACAGAACAAGACATCCGCTGCCCTCGAGGAGCCCATATTGGAACAGGGAAGGACAACACCACATAAAAGGGTGGTAGCCAAGGAAACACGCCAGCCAGGAGGTGGTACCTGCCACCGTCACTGAGGATATACAGTGGAAGAGGAATTCCCTATGGAAGAAAAGGCCATCTAGAGGATCCTGTTTGCATACAACATTGTGTGGATTGTATCAAACCCAGGAACACTGTAGGATCTCCTTAAAAAGACCCACAAACAGTCAAATGAGTTTACTCTAACCAACCACAAAGGAAAAACAAAGTGGATGCTGAATGACTGTTATCCATAGTCTGATAAACATGTAGATGGACAACTCAGAGGCTCATCCATCAGTATATATAAGTTAGCCAGGCATGGCAAATATGCAAAGGTGAGCCCAGAATAGAACAAAAGGAAGAAAATGGAGTAGAGCCTTTGGGAACGTAAGCAGGGTTTTTAATGGCCCCAATCACTTCCCTCAAACAAAAAACCATCTTTTTTAGCATGACTATTTTTTTGGTGGGACTATATGGCTGCAGGACATGAAGTACCAGTCTCAGGGTCACCCCAAGAACAAGAGAGAGGTACACAGTGGCATGAGCAGAAATACTACGTTACCAACAAAGAGTTTTGTTGAATTTAAAGAATGTCATCAGAGAAATGTATCATTGGCAAAAAAGATGGGACCCATAGCAAGGAGGGACAATCAATGAACAATCTATGTGCTCCACGGGTATGACGGTAAGGTCTGAGAAGGTACAAGTCCTCAGCACATTGGGTGGAATCCCTATGGCAGATTTATGAGAAGACCTGGACGCCAGTGGCACGGGACAAGCAGGTAAGGAGGGGCTGCAATTTGCATTTTTGGAGGGAGGACCCACCCTGATGAGAATACAAATCCACAGGGGGTGTATGTATGATCAGGGTGTAAAAGGCTAATTGGCAATTAAATAATACCATCCACAACACAGGTTAAAAAATGCATTGTTTAATTTGGTGCTAGAGTTCCAAGATCTTAGTTTATGTGAATACCTTTACACTCATTTTTAATTATTACTCTGAACAAAATTACATTGGTATTAAGTGTAATTTACAAATAACTACACTGAATGAGAAGAGGAAGGTTGTGTTGAAAGTGAAAGGTCAGCGAGCAAAGACTAGAATTCAGCCCATACCTCACAGAATATGTTGCGTATTTCATTTAGGTACGCAGCCTCTTTAAGAGGGCTTCCAGTTAGACTCCAACCATAAATATATACAAGCCAGTATCGTTGGGTCTAAACACACACATATGTCAGCAGTAACTACACCTCTGATTTACACCCACACCCACACACACACCCCTCCTCCTGGATTTCACCCTTCTGCTCAATAGCTAAGAGATGATGGTTCACACATCTGTCAAAGCTGCAAGTTAATAAAAGTAGCTCTTCTTTGCCATCGCCTACAGCCCGTGTTTTTAATCAGTCACTGAAAAAGCATGTCAGCAGTGCCCCCAAGGGGTGCTTGGCACCCCACAAAACCCAATAAATTGTGACAACCAGCCCAAGAGCAGGATAGTAACCTTTTCAGGACGTGCCTCCAAAGGGACGGCTCCACACGTCATGGCGGTTACTGTCAGTTCCCTCACTCTCTTAAAATGATTCAAGCAGCACACACTAAGAGCTTGACATGTCATCTCCTCAGATTACAACCAGGAGTCCTCCTCAGAAAGGGGTGGAAGCAGGGGTGGGGGTGGGAGCGGAGGAGAAGGACCCGCGGACACAGACATTTCCTTTCCTTCTGTGCCCGCCTCTGGGGTGGTCTTGGCCCTGCTCTAGCATCTGCCTGTAAGGGGGAATTCTATCAGTGGCGAAGGGAAGTGAATGGGGAAGTGATGGTGACGAAGCAAAAAGGACTCACTAAGGGAGCTTTTGTTAAAATGTTCCATTTCCTCCTCTGCTGTTTTTGTCAGGAGTTTTCCAAATCGCAAGGCTTTTAGTAACTGAGCCTGAGCTACTGAAGCGGCGACTGCAGACAGACACAAAGCACCGGGGAACTTACTTTCTGTTCACAATGGCCCAGTCTTCAGTATAGCTCCTTACACAGTCTCTAACATGCGGGTCCATTTCACTGTTTAAGAAGAAAATCCATTAGTGCTGCAGTCAGGAAGAAAAGTACTCGGATATCAAGGCTCCTTCACCCCTAGCCCACCCCACCCACTTGACAGGCTGGTGAAACCTATGGAACCCTTCCCTGAATCATGTTTTTAAACATATAAACATAGGTTTACAAAGCAAACAAACCATATTGAAATAGTTACCAAAATATTTTTTAAAAACAAATTCACAGATGCCTTGTTAAAAGCCCTTACTTTGTATGACAGTATCCATTAGTGACACAATCGAGGAAGCGGGGCCCCATTACAGAAGGAAGCAACAAATTCCCATAACCCAGCCTGGGTCACCTGAAGACTTCCTCACCTCTCTTCAGGTACAGCTGACACAAGGGTTCGACAGTCCCTGGGATTGTAAACAACTTCGATGTCATCTGGGGGAAATTCAAGCAAATCCCGTAAAGGCCCAGACTCCACAGCTAGGGGATGAGTGATTAAGTAATCTTCCAAATCCACTGGGTCCACAGCTTCGGTAAGGGGAACCTTAAAAAAAAAGTCATAGAAGACATTTGAATGAGGACAATAATTAAGCTAAATTTTCTTCTGGATCTCAACAGCTCCTTGAACAGATCCCAGGGCTGATCCCCCAACTCCTGCCCATGAAGGAGACATTTTATCCTGCTGGCAGACCTCCATATTCCTCCCTAACTCCTGCAGACCCCAAGTCTGCCATCACAGAATCTCAGCAGCATGAGGGCCTTTGAAGGGCCTCCAGTCTAACCCATGCTTGAACCCTCCCAATCTAGAGACCCCCTCTGCTAGAAACACTCAGCACGGCCCCTATTCATGCCTGTTCCTGAAATCCCAGGCTTCAACTCAGTCGAGCACTTCTGCAGCAACCCACACACCATGGCACTTCCTGCAAGACATGAAAGACTGGAAGCCAAGTGGACACCTGAGAACCTGCTTCCTCTCAGTCAAACTGGCAACTTTCAGCTGCTCTGGCATGAAGGGGATTGGGATCCTCTTAGGCATCCCAGAACACAGAGTGATAGAGCTCTGTTTGTTGACTGCTAGGTACCTACTTCCAACTTAACATCAATCCATTAAGGCCCATTAAGGATTCCTGTAAGGCCCACAGCTGATCTCCACAGCTCAAAGAACAGTCCTGTCCCCTTGTCTCCCAGCTGCCATTTCTTCATTATATTACTTCCTCATTGCCCTGCCTTCCCCCACCACCCCAAGCCTCCTCCCCTTGAGGGTGGTAGGACATGCATAATAAAAGGCCTAATGTTTCCTGCATGCAGCTCTGTTCTGATTCTTTGTTACACCCAAGCACAGAACGTTACATTTATCTCTGTTATAGTTTATTAGGTTCCACTCATTCTTCTAAGATGTCCACCCTTTGGGATGCTGACCATGGAGTGCATTATCTGTCCTTCCCAGCTTGGTGCACTCTGCAGATTTGATAAGCTTCATCTAGCGCATCCACCCCAAAAGGGGACAGCAAGGACCAAGGACAGCATCCCTGGAGCAGTGCACTGGGGACCATCTGAATCCCTCTCGTCATCGAGGCTCTATCTATCTCATCCAAAAGGCTGTTGTGTGCTTTTAATTAACCTTAATGACTACATTATTCATTCATTTAACTATAATTGTTTTGTATCTGTAAAGAAAGCATGGCATAAAATAGAGTACTGGAATGGGGGCCAAGAAGATGCCAGTTCAAGTCCAGAACATGGTACAAAGAACTTGGGTAAAAGTGAGAAGGCACCTAGCACCACGTGATGTGCCAGGACTTCCCTCCCAAGTTGTCTGACAGCCTCTATCTGGCCCTGCTGGAGGGCGTCCTCAGATCCAGGCCTGACTACACAGAGATCCTTCTGGGACTCCGGTACTAAGCTTCTGCTTCATTAGAAGAAGCAATGCTCTTCTCCAAGTTGAAAGGGACCCAGGAGGCCATACAGTCTGCCCAGAACAGCCTCTTATAACACACTGGACAAGTGGTGATGGGGTCTCTGCTGCCCCTTCTCCCAGCTGGGAAGCTTCCATAAGAATTACAGCAAGCCTAAATTGGTCTCTGTATGACTTCCATTTAGTTCTGCTCTGGGGCCATCTGTAAGTTGCTTTTCAAAAAAGTTTTCATTCTGCAATCACCAAAAACATTTTTCCAAATACAAAGCTGAGCAGAAAAGGAGGATTATATGTGAAACATCAAATCTCTATTATATGAAGCCTGCCTTTTTAAGTATATAATAAATTCAACATGTTATTTTCAACACTGTCCCACTTGTCTATGTTTCTGTCTAAAGTTGTTTTCTCCTGTAAATTTTACAGACTTTTTTTTCTTTCTTTCCTTCTTTTTTGAAGGGACACGATCATTAGCTCCTCACTCTCCCAACAATAAAGGAGAAACACACGATCCCAGTAATGAAGACGCAGAGAGGAGCGAAACAAACCACCGGCGGCCTTGTCCAGGGACGTCTCCTGCGTTCAGCCCCTGAGCATGTCTCATCGTCAGCGTCCTGCAATCAGGGACAACCACTCCGGGTTCCCCTGGTTCTGCTCATTGGCCTCTCTGTCGGCTCATTCAAGTCTTCCGAGGTTTTTCTGAACTGTGCTATTCCATTCCATTCGTACGCCATAATTTATTCAGCAGTTCCCTGATTGATGGGCACCCGCTTTCTTTCCAGTTACAAAAGGTACTGATCCGTACTTTTGTATATTTGGGTCTTTCTCCTCTTTTCTGGACCTCTCTGGGGTATAGGGCTGGTAAGGTCTCACTGGATAAAAGGGGATACAGGGCTTGGTCACCTTTGACATATCCTTCCACACAGCTTCCAAAATGACTGGACCAAGTCACAGCTGCACCCACAGCATACCAGTGTGCCTGTCTGGGGCACGTCACCTGATCTATAAGGTGATCTACACGGCTGCCACCTCAATGCAGGCCCTCATCACCCCACCGCTAGACGACCGCAACGGAGCGCTAGCTGGCCTCTGACACAAACCTCTCCCCATTCCAATCTATCCTCTACTCAGGGACCAAAAGTGATGTTCCTAAAACATTAGGTCTACTACATCACTCCAACAATTCCCCTCCGTTTGTCTTTTAAAGCCGTTCACAACCTGGCTCCCTCTTACTCTTTACTCCCCACCACATTAAGGAGCTAAGGGATACAGTGAAGACAGTGCTGGGGCTGGAGTCAGGAAGACGAGTTCAAATCCAGCCTCAGGCAATTACTACCTACTACTGTGACCCTGGGTTAAGTCACTTAACTTCTGCCTGCCTCAGTTTCCTCAACTATAAAATAGGGATTATAGCACCTTACCACTCCTCCTGGGTCATTACGAGGATCAAATGATTTAACATTTGGTTTAAAAAAAAAAACAAAAAACCACACCAACACTTAGTATAGTGCCCGGCACACAGGAGGTGCTTAATAAGTGCTCTTCCTTTTCCTTCCCTGATCCAGACACACTCTCTCTTCCCCCCCAACTCCACTACTCTCTAGGACATGACATGGCCTCTTCCCACTCTGTATCTTTTCACTGACAGCCCCCCATGCCTGGAATGCTTCCTCAAGGACTTATTTCAAATCCCACATTCTGCAGGACCCTTTCCCCAAGATAATCTAGTGCTCCTTCCTGCCCTCTGAGATTATTTCCCACTCCCACTGTGTATACAAAGCTACCTTCCTGTTGTCTCCCCTGTTAGAACATGAGGGCCTTATAAGCAGCCACCATATTTTTATCTTTCTTGGTATTCCCAGTAACTGGTACACAGTAAGCGCCTAATAAGTGTTTGCTGACTATCCTATCTCAGCCCTTCAAACAGCTGTCCTTTAACTTTTTATCACCTCTGAGATTCTGACAGCTGTTAGGCAGAAGCGCAGGGTGGATTTAATTTGAATTTCCTAATCATTAATGATTTGGAACCTTTTTTTCATGACTGTTGAATGTCTGAATTTTCTGCCTTTCCGTGGTGGGGAGGGTTGTCATTCTTAGATACCTGGATCACAGAAATCAATCCGTCCCCAAGTTTTTATTAAGTACCAAGTATGGGCCAGGCACTTTGCTAGGCATGCTGGGTAGAAGTACAGTGAATTAAACAATCCCTATTAAAAAGGAGCTTCCATTGTCCTGCGGAAGACAATTACATATAAAAATGCTGGCAGCATAAATATCACATGAATAAGTACAAACATATGCAGCACTGGTAAACAGCAGGTAGTCTGGCACGTGCAGTTGGGGGAATCGTGAAAGGCCTCACGCAGAAGAGGGGGCCGGAGAGCTGTGCCTTAAAGGGAGGGAGAAGTGGGCTCCAGGCAAGAGGGACGGCCAGTGCAAAGGACAGGAGAAACCGAGGGAAGGTCAGAGTGGCTGGAGCAGAGTGTGCAGGAGGAGGAATGCCATCTCTGTCCACTGAGGTTAGAGATGGGGGCAGGCTGCAAAGCCCAGCGCAGGAGTTTGGATCTGATCCCGGGGCACTACGGGAGCCAGACACGAGTGTAAGGAAGGTTCCCGCGGCAGCCCTTCGCAGGACGGAGCTGAGAGGTGAGACGCCTGAGGAGGAGATGCTAATTAAGAGTCAAGTGAAGTCAAATCCACAAGCATCTTATTTGGCATCTACTATGGGTCTTGTGCTGGGCACTGTTGGGTGATGCAAAGAAAGGCATAAAAACCAAGGGGCTCAGCCTAACGAAAGAGACAACAGGCAAAAACTACGCATGAACAAGAAGCGTACACGATAAATTAAAAACAGCTTCTTGTAGACAGTAGGATTTTAGCGGGACCTTGAACGAAGCCACGAGACAAAGGCCACTGCAATAATCCAAGTAAGAGGCACTGAAGGTGGTGGTGATGCTGGGAAGGTGGACATGGCAGGATCTGACAACTGACAGGATGTGTGTGCATGGAAGGACAGTGAGGAGTCCTGGACAAGCTCAAGATAGTGAACCTGAGACCCTGAAAGGATGGCAGCACATCCAGGAGAAACAGGGAAGTCTGCAAGAGGGTGCAGTTTGGGGGAAAGACCATACGGATAGTTTCAGACACGTTGAGCTTACGATATCTCTGAATACCCACTTGGAAGGGGCTAAGATTTTTGTCCAATTATAAATTTTCTTATAATTTTAACTTCATTTCAAAACTTTCAATTTCATATAATCAACATTGCACCTTCTATGATTTTCTCCATGTCTTGTTTGGTCATGAATGCTCCAACTATACTTACAAATGGCTTTTTCTTCCTTGCTCCTCTAATTTACGGTGTGACCATTTTTCTATGTAAATTGTGTGTTTCGGTACATGGTATAATGTGTAGGTCTACTTGCCGTCCAGGTCCTCTCTGTCACTCTAGTCTTTCAGTTTATCAAACATCATATCACACTGTTTGTTGCTTCTGAATGGTCTGTATTAAATCTAATCCACTGATTAACCTCACTATTTTTCAGTCAGTACCAAACAGTTGTGACTAGGACTGCTCTGTAGTACAGTTGGAGATTAGCCTCCCTTCCTTCCAATTTTTTTCATTATTTACC